CCCCCCCGGGGGCCAGAGGGGGTGAAATCGCCACCTTTTGGGGCTCTTCTGAAGCTTCCCAAGCCTCAAAAGAGCCCCCAAAAGTGGCGATTTTGCCCCCTCTGGCCCCCGGCGGAGACAGGGTGAGTCTCCAAAGGGTCCTAGGGTGCATTCTAGGACCCTTTGGAGACTCACTCTGCCTCTCCCGGGGGGGGAGAGGGGGCGAAATCGCCACCTTTGGGGGCTCTTCTGAGGCTTGGGAAGCTTCAGAAGAGTCCCAGAAGGTGGCGATTTCACCCCCTCTGGCCCCCGGGGGGGGCAGGGGGAGTCTCCAAAGCGTCCTGGAACACACCCTAGGACCCTAGAACCCTGGGGTGTGTTCCATAAGATGGACCTCTCCATAAGGCTCACCAAATTTTAGGAGAAGAAAGCAGATTATTTTTTTCCTGTTTTCTTCTCCTAAAAATTTGGTGCGTCTTATGGAAAGGTGCGTCTTATGGAGCGAAAAATACGGTATTCAGAATGAGAGTCGGTGTGTAAAAAGTCCTAGTTCTCCTTTATTTTCAAATTTAGACAGAAATTACATTGGTAAAATGATACTAATATTTGTGTGACTAATCATTTGTTGTTACCCAAGGTTATGTTCCTGTGCTTGGACTCCCAAGAAAGTCTAATTAAATTCAGAAGAATGTACTTCTGAATTGATGTGCATAGGCATGAGCTGTAAGACAATTGTGTGTGGACACTGCAGTGTGTGAAATGATGTACTTAGTTTATATGAAATCTTCTCCATTCCTCAACATTCTGCTGGAATAAGACTCTTTGAGTCTTACCAAAGCTTAACCTGTGGCACAACTATAAGAATCTTGGAGCAGTTCCCAGACAGTAAAATCTTGATAATCCTGGAAAATAAGGATTGGGGGAGTGGTTTGGTGCCAAAGATCTGTTTCAGCATTAGATACTCTGGTGCTCACCGGATGTTACAGGTTGCTTATAACTCCCATATTACAACATTTTCACTGGCTGTCAGTCTGTTTCTGAACCCAATTCTGAGTGTTGGTTATTACCTATAAAGCCCTATATGGCTTTGGGTCCAGGCTATTTGAAGGGTTGTATTGCCTCATATGAGACATCTCAACTTTTAAGATCTTCTGTAGAGGCCCTTCTCTTGTTTTTACCCCTTTCCCAAGTGTGTTTTGAGAGGGCCTTCTCAGTGGCTGCATTCAGTCTTCGGAATGTGCTGCCCCAGAAGTCAGATTGACCCCCTCCCTCTTGTCCTTCTGTCATCAAGCTAAGACCTTCCTTTTTAAACAGGCCTTTAAACAGTAATTGGGAATCTCAGGAATGCTCTATTTAGTGAATTTAGATATTTTAAAATGTTTTTTTCTTAAATTTGTTTTTAATCTTGGTTTTATTATTGAAAAATGTTTAATTGTTTTTTATTATAGTTTCAGTAGTATTTTGAAATTGTTGATTACTGTAGTTTTAAGGGTTGTGAGCTGCCTTGAGACCCCTATGGGAAGAAAGGCAACATATAAATAAAATAAATGTTTTGGGTTCAAACTCCATAACTTCCAGCAATCATGGCCAGTGACCAGGTGATGAGGATTGTAGCCCAAAATAACTAGAAGGTACCAGAAAGAGGAATACTGTTCACATATTGGGCCAAGCAGAGTCTGATTTGCTCTGGATCTGGTAGAGACCTGAATGCTCACAGTATGTACCACCTGTCATTAAGGAAGATTAATGGAACCGTATTGTTTATCTGTCCAACACAGCTATAGAACAGTGTTACATATGTTGTGCATGCATCACATATAGCACAGTACTATATTTTTAATGTTTCCAGTCTTCATTATTGACAGCAAATAGTACCAGTCAGTGGCTACCAGTTCACTGATAAATAAGTATGTGAGATACGTGCTGGATTACCATGGTGTATAATATAATACATGTGGTCCTAGAAATACTTGTACTGTATAGTTATTAAATTCTAGATTTCCAGCTTTGTGCTTTATTTTTATTCATAAATTAGCAAGTTCTAATAAATATAACAAGAATTTGCAGTTAACCAGTTGTACATGAAATGATCTTTAACAGAATGTTCTACTTTAGAAACTGGAACAACTCAATCAGTATCCAGACTTCAATAACTATCTGATTTTTGTTCTTACGAAGCTAAAATCTGAAGGTAAGTTACTAGTTCCATTTTTACAAAGTACTTGCAGAACTAGATAAAATAGGCTGGTGCTCTTTAGCTTTTGGGTTATTTACTTATCAAGACTTGAAGGTTAAATTAGTCTACCAGACTGAATTACATAATCTGTGTGTTGTGATCTCAGGAACAGTTAATTTGAATTACTTTGAACATGCTTCCAAGTAAATCTCTTTTAGACAGAGCTTGTGAGTATTTTGGGCAGTATTATAGATAGAGGGATCCCAGGAAGCTTCAAAGGAGAAAAAGAGCAAGTAAATGTGTTAATTTTAGTGAAGCCCATGCTGATATAGTTGCAGTGTCTTACAAAGATATAGTATTTGTTATAGGGCAAGGGTGGTTTTTTTAAAAAAACTTTTATAAACTTTTATACTTTCATTGACTAGGGCAGGGTGGGTTTCCTGTTTAAATAGGCTTTTTCCTTTTCGGGCTTGACACAGACTGTTACCATGTCAGAATTGACCAGTAAACCATAAAAAACCATTAAAACAAAAGAATGTCAAAAATTTTGTCCTGGCTCACAGCATCATATAAAAGAAGTTGAAGAGCAGATAAAGTGTCTTCTGCTCACACTCTAAAATGCAGTTAGAAGACTTCTTTGTCATGTAGGAAAAAATCTGTGTACTGAATACTATTTAATAAAATTAAAATACAGAATTAATGCCGTAAAAGAAAAGGTTTTTCCAAATAGATTTTAATGCCATCTACCTCAAACATGTTTCATTTGTTGTGAAAAGTACACCTTGGCAAAAATGTACAGTATTGCAAGCTTATTCACATAACAAGGATCTTTGGTTTAGTTTGAAAGGTCTGAAATTTTGATACTGCTGAGAGAGGTCATGAGCTTTACTCTTTTGGATGGATGATTGTCCACAGCTCTAAAGTATAGAAGACATGTTTCAGTGAACTCCAGATAGTTTGAAGCATTGTTCTCAAAATGTTATTGAAGTGCTCTTGTCTCAATTCCTTAGTGAGAATTGCGAGTATAAAGCAAATTCAATATGTATGTTTGACAGTTTGAACATTGCAATAAGATAGTTGGTATGTTTTGTAAGTGATTGTGTTGCAAACCAAAAAGTATGTGATGCACAATAAAGGATCAGGATCACCAGTTAAAATCTTGACTTTTTATATAAAGACTGCCTTCCTATGAAATATTGAAGTTTTCTGGAAGCTAATTTAAGCAAGTAGTGTTAATAGTTTCTGTCATATGTAATGTTGGTAGAACATCTACAGTATATTAGTTTCCTAAATACAATCTATTCTTTTACTGAATGGTAAGTACAGTCCTAGTTTTGTCTATTCAGAAGTAGGTGTTGATGACTTGCTGTTGGTACATTTGTTTGTATAGGATTGCAGACTAAATCTCTTAAAAAATATTATTACAGATGAACCTACACGGTCATTGAGTGGTCTCATTTTGAAGAATAATGTGAAAGCTCATTTTCACAATTTTCCTAATGGAGTAACTGACTTCATTAAAAGCGAGTGCTTAAACAATATTGGTGACTCTTCCCCGCTAATCAGAGCCACTGTAGGTGAGTTCTGCATTTATAAAAGGCATTTGTTTTGTTTTTCCAAGACAATGTTCCATATTAGTGCTAAATAACTTAAAGATTTTTTAGTGTCCTTTTCTAAAGGGAATTTTAAAATTTGCTTTTAAAACTGTTTTAATTCAGGGATTTTAAATATGGGGTGCTTAAATGTTCTACTTCATATTGAGTATGAGTAATCAGAACAGTGATTTAAAATTGCTTTCAAAGTCAATTAAGAGAGCAACATGGTTGACATTTCCTGTTAAGATGTTGGCGTTGTTTTGACTCATTATACTTTTTTACCAAGTGTATTTTAAAATAAATGTTTCTTAGTACAGTAAGTGGAAGAGCAGAGATCATAAGATTAACTCCTATCCAGTGTAGATGGTGTGGCCAAAACTGAAACATTTAGATATTTCTCAGAAAGATAACCTTCCAGTGTTTTTTCAGCGTTCTAAGAGGAGAAGAGTATTGATCTGTTGCTCCTGAATTTTGTTGGCTAGATTACCTACTAGAACATTTCTTTTTTTCTTTTGCCCATTGACTTTATAGATAGGGACAGCTCAGCTCAGTGTTTTTGAGTGCATGTTATAATGAGATATGTCTCTTCAGTTCCACTTCCTTTTATCATCTGTTCAAAAATAAAGAAAAGTGCTGAACATTATTAACTCTACACATAAAAGTGCAGCAGGTTGCAACTCAGTTTCAGGTGAAATGGAACTTGAGCTGAGCCATGTTTTCTGGCTTTTATACTGATGAAAACTGGGCATGGATTTGGTAAAGGTAAATATTTACATTTCCAATGATTACTATGCATAGGTATGTTATTGCAGTCAGGTGATATTATCACTGTTTGCTGCTTGCATTTCAGAGAAACATTTGCTTTAAAATGGATCACATTCAGTAAACTCCTGAAATGTTTAATGTCTTAATACTGGAAAAGTGATTACTCCACAGTTTACTCCCCTCCATACTTCTTACCAGTGCTGATAAATAACTAGTGTACCACACTTTAGAATTTTATTAATCTGAAAACACAGTATAAAGAATGAATTAAAATTCCAACTTGGTAATCAGAGAATGCAGTTAAGAAATTTAAAAATATTTTTCTCCCTGTGCAGGACATTTCCTTTGTCATCATTACCTTTTACAAATAGAAATGTTTCCTTCACTGCAGCTATAAACTACAATATTAAAGAAGGATTATATGAATCAGTGTTCCATAAATAGACAGTTTAAGAGAAGCTATTTATATTAGTAGGTCGATCATGCTAACCATATACTTTGGTGTAGCCATCCAGCATGTAGGCATCTTGTTGTTTTATCCCAAGCAACTTTATTCAGAAATAAATCTCTTGCTCCCAAGTAAGTGTACTTAATAGTGCAGCATTCTGAATCACAACATTTGATGGCGTTTTATGGAGTCTTCAGTTGGGGCAGATGTTTTGTCTGCTTTGTTATAATTAGATACCTCCTGCTGTTCACGTTACTCATCTGAAGACAAATACTGTTCTTTGGTGAGGTTGAACTTTTTAAGTTTTCATGTTTCTAGAGTGGTTTGTTTCATGTTTCTAGCTGGTTTGTTCCTAGGGTGTGGAGGCATTTCTGAGGCACTTTCATTTGGCACCTGATTCATATTTTTTGGTAAGAGGAATGGTGTAAAAACTCAGCCATGAGCAGGGGCTACATAACTTAGTCTCATGTAGGGGTCCTGTTCCCCTTGTTCTCCCAATTGCAGAGTCCCCCTGGACCTTCATTTGTGCATTGCCAATGGCACCTATCAAAATATTCTGGTTGTGTGGCTGGGAAGTGGCGGCTGAGCTTTTTCCTTCCCACAGCAGTCTGAAATGGAACACTAGTGGGGAAGGTGGAGGCTGAGCCAGGTGCAAAAGCACCTAAGCAGCTAATTGTCATCCCACTTAACGGTTTAAGACCTCGATACTTGGCGGAACGCTTACTCCCAACTAGTTCTACCTGTGTCACCCGCGCGAGCCAGGAGGTGAGGCTGAGGAGCCTGACGCCGAGGGAGGCCCGGAAGGAAAGAACTAGAAACCGGGCCTTCTCGGTGGTGGCTCCTCGCCTCTGGAATAACCTACCTCCGGAGATTCGCGCTGCACCCTCGCTGGGTACTTTTAAGAACCAACTAAAAGCGTGGATGTATAGGCAGGCCTTCCCTTCCAGTTAATTCCTATCCTCTTTCCTTTTTTATTCTTTTTCTCTTTATTTGATTTATTTTGTATTTTTCCCATCTTGCAGAATCAATTAATTAATTAATTGTTATAAATTTTTCTTGAACTTGTTATCCTTTATGTTGTAAGCCGCCTAGAGTGGTCGAAATGACTAGATAGGCGGGGTATAAATTAAATAAATAAATAAATAAACTTCCCATCGGCCTGAAAGCAACTAAGATTGTTGCTTCTTCTTTGGTATTAATCATAGTACAGTATTGAAGTAAGGATTTCTTCCAACATCCTCAAAATTCAGTAATCCAAGGACTACTAGGAAGTAGGCAAGACTTACTCCCTTCATCTCTGCTAGTGTTTTGCAGTCTTCTTTCTATTCCAGTTTGTTTGTGTTTTGACACTTTCCTCCAGTCCTGATAGTTCGTGTACCCGGGCATAGAGGGCATTGCAGTTATCATTTCTGAAGATTTGTAAAGCAGAGTCCCTGTTACTCTTACTCTTCAGCAGTGTTACAATTTGGTACTGTACAGTACTCCACTACCTAGTTAAATGAGTGTGACTGCTCCTCACATGTTTTAATTTATGCCATAATGGTTATCAGCAGCTAAATTATAGTCACGGGGATTGCTGCCCTATTAAAGTGAGGACAAACTTCAGATGCTGGGACTCTAATTCTTATCAACCTAGGCTGGCCTGCCCCACAGTAAGGGAAGCACAAAATTTGAGTCCAGCAACATCTAATTTATTTATTTGATTGATTGATTGATTGATTGATTGATTGATTGATTGATTGATTGATTAATTTCTATCCCGCCTATCTGGTCACATTCGACCACTCTAGGCGGCTTACAATCAGCAACAATAAATATTAAAACATTACAAATAAATGAAGATAAAGATCATAAGAGTATAGAAGGAAAAAATCGTCAGGGATTAACTGTTGGGAAGGCCTGCTTGTACATGAGTGTTTTTAATTGTTTCTTAAAAGTGCCCAGCGAGGGGGCCGCACGAATCTCAGGAGGTAAGTTGTTCTATAGGTGAGGAGCCACCGCCGAGAAGGCCCGATTTCTGGTCTTTTCCTTCTGGGCCTCTCTCGGCGTCAGGCTCCTCAGCCTCACCTCCTGGCTCGCACGAGTGACACGGGTAGATCTTGGTGGGCGAAGGCGTTCCACCAAGTATCGAGGTCCTAAACCGTTTAGGGCTTTATAAGTAAGCATCAATACTTTGAAGTCGATGCGGAATCGGATGGGCAGCCAATGCAATGCGGCCAGAGTGGGGGAGATATGTTGGTATCTTCTCACTCCACTGAGTAGTCTGGCCGCAGCATTCTGCACCACCTGAAGTCTCCGCAGCATGGGTTGTCTACCATTCTCCTGGAGAAGATAAGACTTATATGGAAAGCTGCTGCTACAAAGGGCAAGTAGATTCTCTTTTCCCTTGCAGTGCTCTCCCAAGGGCTTATTGCAGTGCTCTCCAAACAAGTGGTGACGTGAAGAGTCACTTTCATTCCCTACTTATAGTTTATAATTCAAAAAAGATTGACTCGAGTACAAGGAGCTCACTTTCTTATTGATCTGTCCATCTTTCTATATAAAATTTCTATATAGCCTGTGCTCACCACCTGCATTCGATGGCTGGAGGTTGACTTAGTTTTCCATCCTTTCAATGTTGATAAAATGAGTACCCAGTTCTGGGGGCGGGGGGGGGAGGGGCAAAGTGTTCCTCAAATAATTATTTTATAAACCACCCAGAGAGTGCTCTGTCACTGTGGGGCAGTATAATAGTAAATATCTATATAATGTTCAGTCACTTAAAGAGGAAAATGATACAATCTTTTTTTCCCTATTGTTTGTAATATAATTTATTTGATATACCTAAACAGCATAGAATTCTTATCACCAGTTTGGCACGTTTATTTATTTATATTCTTTTCAATAAATCCAAGGTATCCTGATCACAACCATTGCCTCAAAAGGAGAATTGCAGAACTGGCCTGAACTCTTACCAAAGCTTTGTAGCCTGCTAGATTCTGAGGACTACAATACATGTGAGGTGAGTTCCCCTGCTCCCTTTGTCTACAGCTGCTTCTGCATTTGGTAGATGATACAATCTTTTTAAATTCAGTTCATCCTGCTGTCTAGCTGTGCTAGTGCTGTAAATATATTATTGTTTCTGTGTGACTTGTAAACTTCTGAAAAGTCATTTGAAACAGTGGTTCCCAAACATTTCAGCATCAAACTCTTTTTAGATTTTTAACTGTTGTTCATTCTTACCCATCTCTACCATCATCCACTCCCTTTTTAATAAAAGGGGGAATTTTAATTTAAAATTAAAAATAAACATAAAAATCAGTAAAGCATTTATTTTAAAATCTGTGCAAAATGATAACAATATGTATTTGTCAATAATAAATCTCACGGTCTCCTCTCTCCTCCTGATTTCTTCATGTCCACCTGATTTGGGAACCAGTAATTTAAAGAAGCCACTGTACTGCCCTGAATAAAAGAATCTTGTTTGATTTTGGAAACTAAACAGGGTCAGTCCTGGTTTGTACATGAATGGGAGGCCACAAATTAAAAAACGGAGATCTCCAGGTAGTTACCTGAAATCTGGGCGAGCCACTGCTGCATGTCAGAGTAATAAGCTATATGGATCAAGAGTCTGACCTGACTTAAGTTCATCGTATTTATTATCTCCAAAGTCAGAACAGCTTTTGGGGACTTCTAAGAGAGTTGTGTAAGCAAGTCTATTCTGTAAATGCTTATGTTGTCATAGTTATGAATATGTATTCTTCTGAGAGCTTTAGGAGAGTCTAGACAAGATCCTTAGGCACGAAAAGCCATAGACTTGCATACTTTCATATTTAAAATTACACTGCAGTTAGTCTGATATTACTTAATCTTCTAGCATAGTGAAGTTTAAAGAAATTCTTTCATTCAATTTCTGATGCATTATCTCATTTTAAAAGCATATCTGCTTTTCATTTTAGCAAAGCTGTTAATTACAATGTTCAAACTGTGTATTCAGCTTGATAGGCAGTGTGGAAAAAAACCTAAATGTTACATAGTGCTTCAGATTAAAGTAAATAGTACTGATTTAAGAAGCAATATTTGTATTTGGATCTTTTCCATATAAGATGAAAATATGAGAGTGAATAATATGCTTTCCCTCCTAGTGAAAGGGAAGTAGTAAAATGAATTCCTTCTTCTATTCACAGCAGAAGGAATCCTTGATAACAGTGTTGTCCTCCATAGGGAGGAGCTTGTGTTTTCCCAGGATAGCTGTCATGTTGGTGACTGGAGACTGAACACTTTTTTTTCTTTTTCTTTTTGGTAACTGAGAGAGGATGAGGGCTGAACAGCCTTTTGAAGAGACTGTGATAAAACTCACTTTGAACAGCTATCACATTCCTGCATTTTTGCATCCTGAACACATTTTACATGGGAAGGCAGAATATAAAATATTAATTTAAACTAAATATTTCCCTGAATCTCCCAGATACTTTTTTTAAAAAGAAAGTGAAGGTCTGTCTGTCTTATTGGGGAATACATTTTCATTATATGCAGGTTCTGCATAGGGATTCCTCTCAGGGTATCAGGAATCATTCAAACTGCAGTCAGTGTTTTGGACAAGACTGAGGGCATTTGGAGAGTCCCTACCTAGATTTGTGGTTTATGTTTCTGTGGAATATTACTGATAAATGGTCTTCTAAAGAGCATTTGATAGAAAGCTTTTATAAAATATTCTCAGACCTCATACTTTTACCCTTTGATGATTGCCTTCACTGTTTTGGTATATCTCCATTGCAGACTTTCATATTGCCAGTAAGGAGAGAGCAGGGAATTTTATTAGCTAAAAAATTTCCATTTTTCCCAATGGAAGTAGTGGGGTTGAGACTACAGTTGTAGGTTGTGACTGCAGATCAAGATACTAAATAGAGATCTCTGGGGCAGTTGTTCCTTCCTGTTTTAATTATTTGTATTTGAAATACTTAGGTCTTCATATATGTTTCAGTTCTAGCACGTGCAGCTGCAGATGAGAAATAGGGATTTTAGTCTTGCACTGATCTTACATTGTCTAAACAAGCTCCTCCTGGGTGACATCTTTGCTTCAGATACAGTCATGTGAAAAAGAAAGTAAACCTCTTTGAATTCTGTGGTTTTATGTATCAGGACATAATAAAAATCATCTGGTCCTTAACAGATCTGAAAATTGGATAAATACAATCTCAGATGAACAACACGTAATATATTACATCATGCCATTGTTTCTTCTACAAAAATAAACCCAGAATTAAGAAGCCATGTGTAAAAACTGAGCACACCCTTACTGCTTCATTAGGAATTAAGAGGCTAAGTAGCAGACAGGTGTTGCTAACCAAATGCTCTTGATCATCAGTAAGTGTTAATGCCTCTATAAAAGCTGAAGTTGTAGCAGTTTGCTGGTAGGGAGCATTCAGGGGTGTGTTAACACAATGCCATGATGGAAACACGTCAGCAATGATTGTAGAGAAGCAATTGGTGCTGCCCATCATTCAGGGAATGGTTATAAGGACATTTCCAAATAATTTAAAGTCTATCATCCTACAGTGAGGAAGATTATTCACAAGTAGAAAACATTCAAAACAGTTGCCAATCTTCCCAGGAGTGGACATCGGAGCAAATTCATCCTCTTGGTCAGACCCAAAAGTTACATCTTGAACTCTACAGGCCTCAGCATGTTAAATGTGAAAGTTCATGACAGTTAAAAAAAGACTGAACAAGTATGGTTTGTGTGGAAGGGTTGCCAGGAGAAAGCCTCAAGAACCAGCACAGACACCTCATACCAACTACAGTGGACCCTTGACTTGAAGATGGCTTGACTTACAGACTTTTTGAGTTACAGACTTCTCTGGCCGCACAATTTAGGTTTGACTTGCAGACTGAGATTTGACTTACAGACCAGAAAAAAACCAAAATGGAACAAAAACGGCCTGTTACGGGATTAATCGGTTTTCAATGCACTGTAGGTCAATGGAGACTTGACTTACAGACTTTTTGACTTGAGAACCGCCTTCCAATACGGATTAAGTTCTCAAGTCAAGACCCCACTGTATCAAGCACAGTGGTGGAGGGATGATGATTAGGGCTTGTTTTTTAGCCACAGGACCTGGGCACCTTTCAATCATTTAAGCTGACCATGAACATCTCTGTATGCCAAAGTACTGTATTCTAGAGTCAAATGTGGAGCCATCTGTCTGACAGCTACAAGTAGGCATCCTTCAGTCTCAAGAGACTATGGTAATGTGCTCTGAATAGAGGTCTTAGAAGAGCATCTAGTGTGGCTGAGAAGGTCAATCCGAGAGTGACAATCCCTTCCACACTGAAGACAAATACAATCTCTCCCCTGTCCAACTCCCTGATTTTGCTGGTTTCGGGACTGCCTATTTGCCTTGGCCTGCTGAACAAGTGTCTCTTCTAATTGGGAGAGGCCATGATGCACTGCCTGCCTCCAGGCTGAACACTCAGAAGTCAAGGTTTCTCATCTGTTGAGATCCAATTCCTAAGGCCTTCAGATCTCACTTGCATATATCGTATTGTAGCTGTGGTCTCCCTCTAGGGCGCTTTTCCTGACAGCTAAAGCTTGACTGAAATTGGATCATGCAACAGGCCAGTGATCCCAAGCACACCAGCAGATCTACAACAGAAGGGCTGAAAAAGAAAAGAATCAAGGTCTTGCAATGGCCTGAAGTCCAGACCTCAACCTGATTGGAATGCTGTGGCAGGACTTTAAGAGAGCTCTGCAGAAATAAATGCCTGCAGACCTCAATGAACTAAAGCAATGTTGTAAAGAAGAGTCGACCAAAATTCCTCCACAACGATGTGAGAGACTGATAGTCATAGAGAAAATGTTTACTTCAAGTTATTGCTGCTAAAGGTGATTCTACAAGCTAGTTAATCATTAGGTGTACTTAGTTTTTCACACATGACTTCTCCATTTTGACTTTAATTTTGTAAAATAAATCATGACACAGTGAAATATGTCATGTGTTGTTCATCTGAGATTGTATTTATCTAATTTTCAGACCTATTAAGGACCAGATGATTTTTACTATGTTCTAATTCATAAAACCATAGAATTCAAAGGGCGTACTTTTTCGCGTAACTGCATCTCGACTGCTATTAAAAGTGATTCTCAGTTGTCTGACTCTGCTGTTTCTACCAGATGGAATAGTGGTTCTTCTTTATGGCCTCTGTGAATCACACCCTGGGTTTTCTTCACCCATGCGGAGCAGCATCAGAAAGTTGTAGAGCTTCTGCGGTAGCAAAAACCACATTAGAATAAGGCCCCTCCTCCCTCGTGTAAGTACCTTGCCGCCAAGGCTCCCCTTTCAGTTTTCTTTCAACTAGCACGTTGAGATCCTCATAGTTCTGCTTCTGTGAGTAAACGAAAGAGTTTATTCTTGATTCCTTACTGTTATCAATCTTTTTTCCTTTAAACTTTTAGATCAAATTCATTATCATCAGATATTTTTTCTTTTCTACTTCAATCAGCCTCTGGCTGCAGCACCGCCCCCCCTCATCATTTTTTCTCCTCAAATTATTTTTTGCTATTCATGGCCCCTTTGGGCCTGTTTAAACACTGCATGGTCTGTGATAACAAAATACCACTCTCCAACAGCCACGCCAAGTGTCTTTTTTTGCTTGGGAGAGGCACACCAGATGTCCTCCTGCCAGCATTGTAAGAACTTCAAGCGCAGAGTCCTTCGTTCTCGCTTATCCAGATTAAAACTCTGTCTTTGGGAACAATCCCTTCAACCAACCAAAATGGCCCAACCTCCTTTTAAGGACACATCACAAACCAAAGCAATGGAGAAGGTTCTTTCTGAAGCCGCAAAACAATGTCCATCGACCACACCATCTCATTCCGACGCTCCATCCACTTCGTCTAAAACTTCAAAAACCCATAAATTAAAGCGCTCAATACCGAAATCCTCAATATTGAAGCCCTCCACTAAATGTTAAATGTCCACCGAAGCCTCTTTGGTTCCGGAGCCTTCTCTGCCTGAAAGACTTTAAGCAGCATAAATCTAAAGCTGCAGTAATTTCTCAACAGCCACAACAAACTGCTGAATCAATCTCTATTGGTTCGCCTTCTGACAATGACCGACTCCACTCTCATCAACCCTGCTCCAAATCACCGGAATGGGATGACAGAGTTGATAGATTAACATCTCCTCCTCCCTGGCCTCAACACTCTGTTCTTTTGAGCAGCCCTTCCGTAGTTACTTCACCTGACATCCAAACAACAACTAGAGACCATACTTTATTTGGTAACATCTGATCGTCCACCACGACTGCCTCAGACACAGAACCAAGCCATCGAACTCAACATCGCTATGACCCCAAGCTCGACACCGATGTGCAACCATATCAAATGACGTCCATGGACACTCGGCTGACATCTCTCGATATTGAAAATCCTTGACGCTGACAAATGTCCATGGACATGCTGCTTACATCGACATTGAGCAACAAATGTCAGTACTATGACACTCAACCTATCAGCACCAAAGTTGATCGACAGTCTGTCGACTTCTAATGCAATCCCAATTATTCCAATCATGGATCCAGGCCTCAGACGCCATCAGTATTACTTATCTCACTGGAATCCGACCTTGTCGATGCCGACCCACCATCACCGGTAGAAGACTTCCAAACATACACCCAACTTATGATCCGTATGGCTAAGTCAATCTCCAGTTCCGCCATCCTTCGACAGAACCAGCCGATCATCTATACAACCCAGTCTTTAAAGATACAACTACTCTGTCTTGATGCTTCCGTCTCTATTCGGCACCGCTCAATGATCCTGGACAAAACCAGCCTCTTCCCATGCCATGTCTAAACGAATTGATAACCTCTACAGAGTCCATGACCCTGGAGCTCTATTTCTTCAAAAACAACAAGCTCCATACTCTATTTTTATCAAAGCCTCACAATTCAGATCTTGACATTGACAAACCCTCATGCCACCAAATAAAGACAGTAGAAGGACTGACTCAATGGGAAGATGGCTTTATTCATCAGCAGCGTTCACCATGCGTGTCGCTAACGACCAGGGAGCCATGGCTGCATATCAATGTTTCCTTTGGGACAGTATGTCAACCTTTGTCGAATCTTTACCAGAAGATAAAAAAGTACTCGACCAAACCTTTCAACAAGAAGATCTTTCTGTTGCCAAATAACAGATGCAAAAGAAAGATCACTGGGAGTGGTGCCTAGCACATCATATCTGCCTCACGGCTTTACACGTTGCCGGCCACAACAACTTGGCTGATCTACTCAGCCGCACAAACTCTCTAGCTCACGAATAGCAGTTAGACCAATCAGTTTTTCTTCACCTGTGCGAACGATGAGGCAAACCAAAGCTTGACCTCTTCAACTCTCGTGTTAATTGGAAGTGCAAACGATACGGCTCCCGAGCTGGCATAGGCAAACACTCCCATGGAAGTGCATTCGTTGGCCGATGGCCCAAGACCCTCACTTACCTTTTTCCACCGTTCCCGCTTCTCCACAAGGTTGTGGTTCACCTACAAGAAGACATATCCAGTGCCATTGTTATAGCCCCTTGGTGGCCGAGACAACCCTAGTTTCCAGTCCTTCACAATCTCTCATCACACATTCACCACCTCACTCACCTGCCCCACCTCCTCATGCAGAACAAACGCCCAAGTACTCCACCCAGACTTACCTGTTCTGCACTTGGCAGCATGGAGGATGAATGTTCTCTGTCAAAGAAGCCCTCCACTAGAAAGGCTTACCTGTATAAATGGAACAGATTCAGATCTTTCACTGAAGCTTCTTCTTTGCCTTTTATCAAGCCATCACTGCTACTGCTCTACATTTTTTTGCTTTATCTCAAGTCTAGTGGCCTTTCCCTCTCTTCCTTGAGAGTTTACCTTTCCGCCATAGTTTCTTCTCAGCCTCCTAACTCTCTGGCAGCTGATTTCTTCAAGCATGTAACATTGAAATGTTTTCTTAAAGGTCTATCTCATATCTACCCAAATACCTGCCCTCCTTTCCCACAGTGGTCACTAACATTAGTACTGCAACAATTTACTAAAGCTCCTTTCGAGCCTTTAGCGTCAACTGATTTAGGGCTACTTACTTTTAAAACAGTTTTCCTCGTTGCCATTACCTCAGCTCCACGAGCTAGTGGCTTAGCGGCCTTACATCACAACTGTCCTTATTTACAGTTTTTTTCCCAGACAGAGTCAAACTATCCATGGATAGTTTCCTCCCCAAAGTCATATCTCAATTCCATCTCTCTCAGCCATTTAACATTCCTTCCTTCCTTCCTTCCGTCAACATCCACAACTCAAGAAAGAATCCTCCATACTTTAGACATTAGGCAAGCCCTTGCCTTTTACGTCCAATGCAGCCAGCCTTTCAGGCGTTCACCTCAACTTTTCATAAGTCACCAACCACCTACTAAAGGTCGACAGGTGAGGTCTCAAACTATATCTAAATGGGTCGCTTCAACCATTCACCTAGCATATCAAGTGGCATGCAAACCAGTCCCGAAGGTGATTCGCCCTCACTCCACCAGAGCAGTGGCGACCTCTATGGCATTCCTACATGGCATACCTCTTCCAGATGTCTGCACCTCTGCCACCTGGGCACAGCCGTCCACTTTCATCCAGCATTATAGACTTGATCTCCGGCAGAAGTCTGATGCAGCCTTTGGATGTGCTGTTCTAGCCTCTACCTTGGCATAACACCCTGCCTCCGGGTAAGACAGCTGGGATAACCCAGGGTGTGATTCACAGAGGCCACGAAGAAGAACGACAGGTTACCTACCTGTAATTGTAGTTCTTCGAGTGGACCTCTGTGATTCACACATCCCGCCCATCCTCCCCACTATCACGCCATTCTGCTTAATGTAGTGGCAGTTGACACAACTGACGGGAGCCTTGATGCCTAGGTACTTATACGAGGGGAAAGGGGCCTTATTCTAATGTGTATTTTGCTGCCCCAGAAGCTCTAGAACTTTCCAATGAGGCTCCATGCAAGTGCAGATCACCCAGGGTATGAATCACAGAGGTCCACTTGAAGAATTACAGGTGGGTAACATGTCGTTTTCTTTCCTTATTGAGAGCCAGTGGTTCATGTGGAGGTTGTTTTCCTTTTTGTTCCTGTGGCAGCAGGTTCTTCTCAGAAGAAAGACTTGGCCAATCTGACTTGTGGTGCCTCGCATGACGACATTAATTCGTTCCGCGAAAATCGCTGTAAAACAAAAACGTCATGCGAATTAAAAAAGCACATAGAAATGCATTAAAACACAATTAATGCGTTTCTAGGGGCTTCAAACTCACCGTTCAGCGAAGATCCTCCATAGTGTGGCCATTTTCGCTGCCCGTGCAGTGAGGAATCCATGCCATAAAACAGTGGGCGGCCATTTTTTTTAATCGGCGGCAATTTTGAAACTGCCGATCAGCTGTGCAAAAATCATCGCTTTGCGATGAGCGGTTACCAAAACAGGGGGCCGATCATCGCAAAGCGAAATTCCCCCATAGGGAACATTGTAAAAACATCGACGTAAAGCGATTTCGTCGTCAGACGGAGCACTCGTAATGTGAGGCACCGCTGTAATCTTTCTGCTGTGTGTGAACTGGTGAGTTTCAGATTTCTAGTTCAGTTCAAGTAGGATTTTCCCTAGCTTCTGTTTTAATATACATAGTGATAGCATACATGCTGGAAATACAATGTTCCGGATGCAAGGCAAGGATTGGCAAACTAGAAATCCAAAAAAGATCAAAATGTATGTTTCCTTGATAGGGTGCATTTGGAGCTCTTCAGAAAATTTGTGAAGATTCTGCTGAAATCTTGGACAGTGATGCATTAGAACGACCTCTGAATATTATGATCCCCAAGTTTTTACAGTTCTTTAAGCACAGCAGTCCAAAAATAAGGTAAGATATTAATCTTCCCTCCTGCCCTCTTTTAAAGCTTGAGTCAGCAAGATTTTGTGAGGAAACATTTTAAATAGGGTTGCATTGGATGATACCATCAGCCAAGTATGTCCTTTGAGTTGCCTGGTCTTCTCCCTGATTGTAGGATGATGAACAAACATTCTTACCTTTTTCTGAAGTTCCTTTCTTGTTGTCTAATATTGAACACTGTGTCTGAAAGCCTATTCCCTTCACTGGAGCTTCATACCTTTGCAAATAGCCAAATTCACCTGGCCTAGAGCGGTCTTAATTTACTAGATAGGCGGGATATACGTAAATAAAATAATAATAATAATAATAATAATAATAATAATAATAATAATAATAATAATAATAATAATAATAATAATAATAATTATTATTATTATTATTATTATTATTATTATTATTATTATTATTATTATTATTTGGTAAAGGGAAAGAGACTGTCATTTTTCCTTGTTCAGCTGACATTCCACAATTGATACACAGAAATATGTGCAGTCTTGTGGATTTATATGAAAGGTGCCTTTGCTGGATATTAGCAGTTAACCAACATAATCTTTTGATAGTGTCCTTCTGGACATTGGATGGAGACTGTCAGTCCTATTGTTGGTTTCCCATGGTGCCAATAATCCATACTGAAATCTGAGGGCATTGTGGGGGAACATTTTTGATCAGTTTTGGCTTTGAGCACTGTAGTCAGAAAACAAAAGTTTGGACTTGCATGTTTGAACTTTTCTGGATCGCAAGCAGATTTGCTGATCATGTATAGTAACTGTATTGGCACATCACTGGGTCATCCAGTCAAAATTGTTATGACATTTTGGAAGGTTTGCTGCATTATATGTGGGGAGAATGCTTCTGGCACCCTTGTGTCTTCCTGTGGGATAAATAGTTGCTGCACTGGAAATACAGTACTAAACAGCAGTATGTCTATACTTATATAAGATAGAAAGCTGATTTAATTCTAAGAAATCATAAATTCATACTCTAAGGCTTTCATGGCTGGGATCTGATGGTTGGTGTAGGTTTTTCGGGCCAGCATCTACAGAGGACAGGAGTTAGAACACAGACTGAGTTCTAACTCCTGTCCTCTGAAGGTGGCGGCCGCAGAGACTGGCAAAAACCTCCAGAGTATGGCCATGCAGCCTGAAAAACCTACAACAACAATCATGAATTTATTTGCTGGTTTGTTTGTTTTATTTTTTAAAAAAACTTGATGCATACTAGTGTTTTTTTTAAAAAGGCTGATTGGATCTTTTCTAGGTCCCATGCAGTTGCTTGTGTTAATCAATTTATCATCAGTAGAACTCAAGCTCTTATGCTGCATATTGATGCATTTATAGAGGTAGGTGAATTTTCGTTGCTAATTATCAGTGTGTTACGGTATTAGGAGAGATTACAAAACTTCTGCTATAAAAATAATAGAAAATTCCTGTATTGTTTTTAAATGTGCATTTTTAAAATTGCTAGAGAGTCCAACCATTGGGAATCCAAACATGGCTGTGATAGCCGGGCGCAGCGCGGCTCCTGGCGCCAGCGGCAGCGTAGGGGGTGTCTGGATGCCTTCCAGGCGGAGAACCACTGGAAAACATCCGGACACCCCCTATCCTGCTGCCGCCGCTGCTGGAAGCCACACCAGGCCAAGCAAC